CAGTACATTAAGTAGGAACAAAAAAAACTAAGTAAAAATGCCTGCTATAGTGCTAGCATCAGCATTCTAAAGCAGTAGGAAGGTTGAACACAGTTTCTGGTCACACACCTCCGACTGGGCTATGAGCTTTAGGCCTGGCTTTCACTAGTCCAGAAGTGGGCAGAGCTAGCCAAGAACCGCTCACAGAGGATCCAGGTGTAGGTTAGTAGTTTAAAAGTTTGCTTGTGCAGTCAAAAAAGACTAGAGATATGGAGTAAAAGAGGTCCAGATTGGAAAAAAACAAAACAAACAAACAAACAAAACCTACCTCTAAATAGGTTACAGTGTGTTTAACAAAGTGTGTAGGCTTAAGAAAGAAAGAAAAGGGGTATGGACAGCCGTAGAAAGAAATAAATAGTTTTAAAATAAAGTCTTTAAAGACAGAGTAAAAGTAACAATAATAATAAAAAACCATGTAGAGATGGGAAATACACATGGAATCTGGATCCTGTATGTTACTGTGCTGATTTTTAATTTTTTGAATGGTAATGAGCAAAAGATAGCTGCTGGCAGACACGGGCTTGTGAGCAGGATTGCAAAATTGAACCAACCAAGATACGAAATGGAAATCAAAAATGCTTTGGAGTTTTGTTCCCATAGGCAATGAGAGGCTGTGGATTCCTTCAGGAATGAGATGTATCAGGTGTGATCAGGGGTGAGACCTCCTGAATCTTGACAGGTGATATCTATCAACAAAGATTATATCTGGTCTTCCCAAGGATTTGGTCATTATCTCAAATTTTTCTCTTTGGGTCCCTAAAGATGCTTCATCCACAGACAGCAAGAAGCAGTCTAGAGAAAATGATACCCACATTCCCAAGAGTTAAGGGGGAGTGTGAGTGGTTTTAGTTATTTGGTGGGTTATGGATGTTTGTTATCATTTAGGGGAATATAGAATATTGATACAAATTTAAAGTTATTTTTGTTACATTGTATATATGTTTCTACTCTTGTTTAAAGGATTTTTGTATATTGATAAAAATTTAAAGTTATTTTTGTTACAACATATTGTATGTATGTTTCTATTTTTTTCTGAGATATTGTGTCATGCAGTTCATTTGGAAATGTAGGATGAAGTTATGGTTTTTGAAAACTATTATAAACTATATAGGATAATCAGGAAACATAGGTTAGTGATTAGTCATTTATAACAAATTTATAGACATTTTAGGTATGCTTTCTAGATCATATAGAGATATCTTTGAGATAGACAGATGGCCTTCAAACCTTTCAAAGACCTACAGAATATGGCATTTAAAATGTTTTGTTAACTTAGGGCTTTTCATGACAATGAGGCACATCTGCTCCTGGTAGCACCAATTTACCTCAGAGATGATGGGCATTGAAGAAACTCCTTATGGAGCTTGCTTTCACTGTGGCAAGGTTAGCCACTGGTCAAAGAAACTGTTTTTGCCTTTGATTGCTAACAATGTGCTGTGCACACTGGACGTGCAGGACACACAGGAAAAAGACTGTTGAACTTTGCCAAAACAAGGCAGGACAGTCCTTCAAATTTCCTGCTCCACTGAAAAGTCTGCCAGATAGTCTGGGCCTATAGGCTGAAGATGGATGCCCCAATATAGGATAGGAACTTTGGGTGACTGTCCAGGTAGCCAAATTTCTCTGTTGTTAGGTAATATTATAGCCTTCTGGGTCTTTGATGGAGTTGAAGACTAGATAGTTATAGTTGCAGTTTTCCTTAGTTATGATAGAAAGTAACTTAGGTGTAAAACTTTGGATTCGCTAAGATAAGATAGATAATGCATTATTCTCTTTGAATATGTCAACTACAAATGGACAGAACATTGTAAATGTAATTTCTACTTGATACTTGTTTTTCTTGTATGTAGTCTTACTATGTTAAAGTTAAAACCTTTATTTTTATTAGACAAAAAGGGGGAAATGTTGGGGAATATTATTTTAAGGTGTGTTACTTTTGTTTATGATGCATTTGTTTAACTCTGTGAAGCTGTGTTACTGTGCCTAAAACATTTGATGGTCTAATAAAGAGCTGAACAGCCAATAGTGAGGCAGAGGAAAGAAATAGGCGGGGCTGGCAGGCAGAGAGAATAAATAGAAGGAGATACCTGGGAGGAAGAAGGAAGAAGTAGCCAGAGAAGGAAGAGAACTCCAGGGGCCAGTCACCCAGCTACACAGCAAGCCAAGGAGTACGAGTAAGATTTATAGAAGTAAGAGAGTGGGAAAAGACCAGAGGCAAAAGGTAGATGGGATAATTTAAGGAAAGCTGGCAAGAAACAAGTCAAGCTAAGGCCGGACATTAATATTTAAGAATAAGCCTCCAAAGCCGAGCAGTGGTGGAGTACACCTTTAATCCCAGCACTCAGGAGGCAGAGGCAGGTAGATCTCTGTAAGTTTGAGGCCAGCCTGGGCTACAGAGTAAGTTCCAGGAAAAGCACAAAGCTACATAGAGAAACCCTGTCTTGAAAAAGCAAAAAAATAAAAAATAAAGAGAATAAGCCTCCACGTGTGATTTATTTGGGAGCTGGGTGGCAGGGCCCCCAAAAGAGTAAAAAAGCCAACAACAGATATATTTACTGTTTTGGGGAGCAGAATTCTAAAAAATGTATATATCATGTTTACTAATATTTAAATTTTCTAAAGCCTTACTCAATTTTTAAGTCCTTTTTAAAAAGCATGGTGGGTATGTGTGAAGGGGAGTGTATCATGGCATGTGTATGGAGGTCAGAGGTCCGTTCCTCCTTCTATTTATGTGGGTTGTGGGGATGGAACTTGGGTCCCCAGACGTGCAGAGCAAATGCCTTATCTACTAAGCCATCTCCCTGGCCTTTTTAAAAAGGTCTACCTTATCTATTAGAAAAATGAGGAAATGGACCTGATATTTTCTATTGATTTTTTTTTTCCTTGTAATTCTGTCAAGTTTTGCTTCTAATAAGTTTTATTTTTAGGTAATACTCTAGTAAAACTAGTCTTTTAATATAGGACCTTTTTATTGGTTATAATACTTCTTGCCTTAAATACTATTTTGTCTGCTATTAATGCAGCCACAACCGTTTTCTTCTGATGAATACTTATCAGTTTTCTTCCCTGTTCTGTTTTCTGGTTTTGTTATATTTTATGTAGCTCATCTAGAGAACACACAGTTTGATACTACTGTTTAATCTACCACTATATTTTAATTGGCTACTTTAGTAGTAGGGATTGAACCTAGGGCTTCACACATGCTACGCAGGTACTCTGCCTTTGAGCATTGGCCCTTTTATTACATTACTTTGAGACAAGGTCTTACTAAATTGCCTAGTTTTGCCTCGAGCTTACAGCGTTTTTGCCTCAACATTCTCAGTAGCTGGGATTACAGATCCAGCTTGTTTTTGTTTTCTGAGACAAAATGTTACTATGAACCCCAGACTGGCCTTCAATTCTTCCTGCTTCAGATTCCCAAGCACTTGTGGCCTGTTTGCTTTTTAAATGGCCTTATCCACCCACTTTTACGCTTCTATTCGACTGACTGTTTTATTAGGTTTTCACTCTTCTTCTAATTTGGAAATTATTACTTATATTCCTATTCAAATTTTTTTCCTAAATTAACTCCACACACTTTTACATCTGCATTTTAAAAGGTGTGTTTGTATTTGATGAAAAACAGTAACTTTGTCCTTCACTCAAACGATTGGGCGTACCTAGAAATTTTTTTTACTAAGAATATCTCCTTTTTAACATAACAGCTGAAGACTAATATGTCAACTATATTAACAATTCACCACACCACTCTTAGTGACAAGCACAACTTCAAGCACCACCACCAAAGCTTCACCCCTGCAACCACTTTTTCTGTAAGCAAACATGTTCTTGCAACGCTCCATGGCTGAGGTCACTGTATACACTGTGCTGTGCACTACAGGACGCTGAGGAACTGTGGTCCCTGCCAAGCGGGTGCCAGCAGGTATCCTTTTTCTTCCACAGACAATCCAAACTCACAGACAACCCAAACAATACCATGTGTTATTTCTAAACACCACTTCTAGATCAGAATCATTCCAAATGAAAACTGCTTTTTTAATGCAGAAAATAAAATTTAAAAACTATAAAATAAATATGTTTAGAATCAAAGGACCAAAGAATGAAGAATATTTTTGTTTCACATAGGAAATAAAAATATTTTCCCTTCTATTTAGGAAATTCATTTTATAAACCATTTTCTTCATTAGAGATATGCCTTGGTCTCATGTAACTTCCTCCATTTTCTTCTCTAGTTTTGCAGTGGTGGGCCCGTGCAGGCTAGAAAAGATCTCTCTCTGCCAATGAACTATACATATAGACTCTTAGTTCTAAAATCTTTATACATGACTAAGTGTAATCAAAGAAGGAACCATGGTTTGGTGTTTTTAGTTTCCTCCTCCTCCTCCTCCTCCTCCTCCTCCTCCTCCTCCTCCTCCTCCTCCTCCTATTTTTTTCTTTTAGACTGGGTCTCTCTACATTGTCCTGGCTGTCCTGGAACTCTCTATGTAGACCAGGCTGGCCTCAAACTCACAGAAATCCACCTGCCTCTGCCTCCCAAGTGCTGGGATTAAAGGCATGTGCCACCACACCTGCTCCTCCCACCCCATGCCCTTCAGATAGGAGCATCTCATGTAGCTCAGGCTGTCCTCCAAGTTGCTATGTAATCAAGTATGACCTTGAACTTTTCATCTGTGTCTACCTCTGGAGTGCTGGGATAACATGCTTACATCACCATGTCTGGTTTTATGCGGTGATGAGGAGCAAACACCAGGTTTCATGCATGCTAAGTAAGCACTCAATCAGCTGAGCCATGTCCCCAGCCTAGGAATCACTTTCCCTTGTTTTTCTTCCCCAGCAAAGCTTAACTTTTTGACACCCCACTCCCCGACTCTAGATCAGAACACTGAACTTGTTCACCATCTTTTAAAGAGAAAAAAAGTTTTACAGTATCACATTCCTAACATAGTCTCCTATTTACAAACCTGTTAGTGTCCCAAATAATGACATTTCCATCAAATCCTGATGTTACTAAGAGTCTTGTATTAGTATCATATTCGATGTTCTTCACCCAGCTAGTGTGACCATGTAAAGTGCATACTTTGGTGTTCAATTTTCTCAGATCCCACAGTGCTATTGTAGTATCATCAGAGCAGGTAGCAAATAGCCGGTTATCAAGAAATCTACAAAAGCAGAAAAGAAAAACTGGTTCATTTAATCTCTACTTTAGAAAATATGACTTTAGAAACAATCTCTAATTACCAATGGGAACCAAAGGACTGCAGCCTCCCTGCAGAAGCCCAGCGATTGTGACACAATAGACAGTGACCTTTGTCCACACAGCCAGACTGCTACTAGAGACGTGCTATAACTGGCCCGTGTCACTGCTGATTTTATCTGAAACTAGAACTTGTGAATAGGTGTTTGGAGCACAGCTGGTAGAAAGAAAGAAAGGAAAGAACTCCAGAATCTGCCCAGGAAATGAAAAAAGAAAATGTAATAGAAAACAGATTTTAAAGACTTGACTGCTCAAGGGGACACTGTATTAGACAAACGATTCTAATAATAGAGATTTGCTACAAGTAATGTCTCTTCCTACTAACAACAAGTTTACATACAAACATTGTGACTCAAAGTGCCATCATTTAAATCTATTAACTCAAAAGCATTCCCCAAATAATCTCCCATGGCAACATTTTATTAGTCAGGACTGTAAGATGGACTTAGGCTATAATGCAGGCTTTTTATAATTTTTACTAATTTCCCAACCCTTAGTAACAACATACAAACACTTATAACTGACCACTCACTTTTGTTTATGTCTAACTTAATAGTAGTATGGGATCTTTAGCAAATATTGTTACATATAACTTCATAATCTCCGGAAGAACAAATGAATTCTGGAGCTTCTTCCAATATAAAATTATATATAATTCTGTCTAACAATGTCACGACCTTACTGCAATTTATCATGGTTTGATTTGTCTCTTTCTTGTTTATAAGTCTCTAGTCTATTCTCAGGCTATCTCCCATCCAAGCACTAAGCAGGCTTAGCTTCTGCTCAGAAGCTCTGCACGTGAACTTGCCTAGCACATTGGGGATGGTATGGCCATACACTTATCATGGCTTTAATTCTAGGTCCACCTTCCTCCTCTTCCTTAATTTTGTTTTCTTTTTAATATTTAGCTGTCATCTCCTCCAGGAAGCCAGCCGCTTTTTTTTTTCTTTAAATTAAATTCAGCCTTCTTTATCTAGTCTACGGCAGTTTACAAATATGCTAAAGTTCCCCAAGCACTCTGTAATTTTTGGGGGTGCATGTATGGTGTATTTGTATGTGCACACGTATGTGTAGGTTCACTTACGGAGTCAGAGGCTGTCTTGCTCTGTTGCTCTTCACTTTATTTTTTGAGGGAGGGCCTCTTGACTGAAGCTCGCTACTGCTAGAATGGAGTTACACATGAGTGCACTGAGCCCAGCCTTTTGGTGGATACTGGCGAGCTGAACCGAGATTCCTATGCATGTACTTTATCTACTGAGCTATTTTCCCACCCCAGCACTCTACACTTCTAGATAGGGTTTCTCTGGGTAGCCCAGGCTGGCCTGTGCACTTCTATCATAATATTAAACACTGTCACTGTAGTATAAAGAATCACTTTACAAAGCTATAAACTCCTTGAAGATGGGAAAGTACCTACCACATGATTAGAGCTGCAGTGCCAAGCGCATGTGCTCCTTTTTAAAATTTACTTAGAGACAGCGTGTCATATAGCCCAGGTTGGCCTCAAACAACACTGAATTTAGGATTGTCTCACTACAGGAGTGGGCCACCATGCCCAGTTTATGTGGTGCTGAAGATCAAACCTAGGGCTTGATGCATAAAAGCAAGCACTTTACCAACTAACCTACATCTCTACTTCTATCTGTAAATGTTTATTAAATGAATGAATTAAAGAAGTTCATTACCCAGAACTTTTTGTTACATAAAATTATTATGTGAAATAAGCAAAATAAAGAGACGGGTTAGGAAAGGGTACAATGAGAACTGACTGAAAAGGAATAGGAACTCCCAGAGGTAAGACACATACAGGTATGTGAAAGATCACTATATGTGGTTCAGGAGACAAATGGGGAACTTACTGACCTACTCCAGTGACTCCTAATGGCTTTTCTCCTCATCTCCCTCCATCCTGCCTCCTCTTAACAGGATCTCATTATGTAGTCCTGGTTGGCCTGAAATTCACTATGCAGACAGGCTGGCCTTAAACTCACGGAGATCCTCCTGACTCTTCCTCCCAAGTGCTGGGATTAAAGGAATGTACCACCACTCTGGGCCACATTAGGAGTTTTAAGGAAGAGAGTGAGATAATTTCATAGGAATTTTAAGATCATTGATATGACCAGGGCCCCAAACTTTTGGGTTTTTATTTTAAAAGTTAAGTAAGATGGAGTATTTGTTAATAAGATAACTAAAAAGTAATTGTTGCATAAAGAATATTTTAATCTCCAAAATGTAGAATGAATCTTGGAGTAAAAGCTAATTAATTTTGAATTGAGTTTACCTTAATGAAAAATTCAATACTTTGACTTTAGTTCATTCATTTTCCCCCAAGTATTAACTGATAAATTTTTTATATTGGTAAAGAGTATAAATCATACAGTAGTAAGAGTAGTGTGTAGATGAAGACATCATCTATGGCAATTTTTATCCCAAAATATGCAGAAAGGATTAGATAAGCCCTTGGATATGTGGCCCATTCCTCTCCAGTTAAAACTTAGAATAGCCTAGAAAGCTGTAACTGTTAGGCTGGGATGTAATTCAGTTGGTAGAGTGCTTGCCTAGTATACATGAAGCCCTGGGTTTGCAATTCCAGCATGTATTTGGGAGGCAGAAGCAGGAGAATTATAAGTTCAAAGTCATATGTGCCTATACAGTGAGTTCAAGGCCAGCCAGGGTTACATGAGACACTGTCTTAGAGAAAGAAAAAAGTTATGAAGTGTTTCTAACTCTACATTCTTTGACAAGTAGGAGCTTGCCCAAACACTGAAATCTGTCTGAATCAAACCCTCTCAACTGTGCCCACACAACTCTAAGTTGCCTATCAAGGCTCTGGGTGGGCCTCTGTATGAAGAAGCTAAGCTTTCTATTTGCGGGAAACTGGAACAGGATAAAGGGAACTGAAAGTGAATTATTTTAGTACCTACATCTCATTGTCCAAGTCAAAATATTGTTGAGTATTTTAAAAAATTTAAACTAAAAAATTATGAAAAGAAACTTTTTTAAAAATTTAACTACATGCAAATTCTTAAACTGGATTAAATTCTAGAAGTTTTTTTTTTTTTTTTTTGGTTTTTCGAGACAGGGTTTCTCTGTGTAGCTTTGCGCCTTTCCTGGGACTCACTTGGTAGCCCAGGCTGGCCTCCAACTCACAGAGATCTGCCTGGCTCTGCCTCCCGAGTGCTGGGATTAAAGGCGTGCGCCACCACTGCCCGGCTTAAATTCTAGAGGTCTTTTTGTCTTGTTTTGGGTATAATCTCTGCAATGAAATTAAAATAGATTATATCTTCCCTTCATATTTGAGTTTTGTACTATAATGATGATCACTTTTCTATAAATCCTCAGATTTTATCAGCTGTCTCAAGAGCCAGTGAGATATTCAGGAAATTCTAGGTGTTCTTGTGCCATTGTTTCTACCACTTTGTTTTTCTGGTATTTTCTCTATCAGATCTGCTATTGCCAATGATTTTATATGTATCTTAACCACTTCTCCAATATCATTTCCAGCGTTTTGTGGAATTACATATGCATAAAATATATTTCCTCTCAACTGGCAAACACTGTATTTGTCTTATATTGTATAAAATATACAAAATAGCCCAAGACCAACAAAGACTCTGGATTAGTAAGTAGGTGCTACATTGATTTTCTGTCACATCACTGAGTGAATATTCTTAGTTTTACTTTGGGGCTTTCTCTTACAACCTCATAATTACAGGAATCTGGATTGTTATATGGACTCTTACATCTAAATATAAAGTTTTCAGGAATAAGAAGCCTATAAAATGTATTTAAATCATAAACATTTTTCTTCTTAAAACATGAACAGAAAATATTCAGCTATCATTATTATTATTTTACAAGATTAACAATCCACAAAAATAAAAAATAAACTAGAAGACATTACCAAGAATTGCAAAATAGCTACCCAGAATGAAACCAGAAAATGTACGTATGCCCACCGTTAGAGTGAGGGAACCATGGACGATTCTATTTCTACTACTACTTGTATATGAAGCCTTGGAAACATCGCTTTATAAGAGTCATGATTTCCTTATGCCTTAAAACAAGCATGGCATCTATCTCACATGAAGACACAATAAACATCAAACTACCTGAGGCAGAAGGAGAAGTTCAAGACCAGCCAGGCCAGCCTGGCCTGTACACGGCAAGACAAATGGAAGAATTTTTTATTAACCTGTGCATGTGTGTAAATGTGCGTACACTCACTCTCTGGTGCACACGCGAAGGTCAGAGACAACTTTGTGGAGTTGCTTCTCCTCCTACCATGTGGGTCCCAGGGATTAAACTCTGATTGTCGGGTTTGGAAGCAAGGCATCTGTTGTCCCCCAAGCACCCACATTTTAAAAAATCTTGAGCAATATAGCATATTAAAAGTGTTTTACTGGTTTGACACACAGTAAAGACTCAAGAAATGGAAGTTAGTATTATTAAGTAGTGCACACTTAAATTCATGCATCCAGAGACCTTTCAGATCCTTAACCTTTTAAGTTACTTGTGCTTCTAGACAGACTTCACAATCCGTTTTCCTACACTGAAATTGGTAGGCACATGTGCTGTGGCTCACACTGACGGCAGCACATGAGAGCTGACACTGATGAAGAATCCAAACATGTTAGTCGACTGTCACCTTGAGTAGGGGCAAACAACTTGACACAAGTCTATTCTTTTTGAGATATAAAAATTTTCAATTGTAAAATATTAGAAATAGGGACAATTAAAACGAATATAACAAACACCTATGATACCCACCACCCAGCTCATCAAATTTTAACATTTCGTTATCTTTCAGAATTGTCTGAAAATACAAACATTGTGAGTCCCTCCCCAAGCCCGTTCCCCTCCCTCCCTCTCCAGAGGGAACCACTATCCAAAATTTGTCATTCC